AAGGAAGTTTGCGGATTAATAGTTCTGTACTCTTTTGATAACGACGGATTTCACGAAGAGCTACCGTGCCCGGACGATAACGATGAGGCTTCTTTACTCCGCCGGTGGCCGGTGCGCTCTTGCGTGCAGCTTTAGTAGCTAACTGTTTCCTTGGAGCCTTGCCTCCGGTCGACTTGCGAGCTGTCTGCTTCGTACGAGCCATGATAGATAAACAAACTGTGTTATACTGAACGAGAATAATGTTTGAACAAATTTTCACGATTCACCAATACTTATAGTGGAGTCGGATCAACGAATACGTTCTCATTGGTCACGTTATAGCGTTTCGGTCCGCGGTGGTGGTAACTCTGGCAAATAACCAATGGGAACGTCTTGTTCGTAACGGGAACTCTTTAAATACAGCAATTGGCAAAATATCGACATGCATTAACAGTGTTCGTAAACAACATCCACAGTTTAATCACACAAATCGAGTAACGATGACAGGACGCGGTAAAGGAGGAAAAGGTTTGGGTAAAGGTGGTGCCAAACGCCATCGTAAAGTACTCCGTGACAACATTCAAGGAATAACTAAACCCGCCATACGCCGGTTGGCTCGTCGTGGTGGTGTGAAACGTATCTCGGGCCTCATCTACGAAGAGACACGTGGAGTGTTAAAAGTATTTTTGGAAAATGTTATCCGTGATGCCGTCACCTATACCGAACACGCCAAGAGGAAGACCGTTACCGCTATGGATGTTGTATACGCATTGAAACGTCAAGGCCGTACACTTTACGGTTTCGGAGGTTGATAATTTTAAACGGACTTCAACAAATTATAAAACGGCCCTTATCAGGGCCACCATAAGATGATGATGATATATATCTATTAATGAAAACGTGTTGTTATTTCGTAAACATTTTTTTTTATATGAACACGGTACATATGCGTTTACATATTTAAAAAGAGAACAATAAACTAATTCAATTAATCGAAATCCAATATAAAGAGTGGCCCACCACTCACTGACAACTTAAATAACTTTTGATCCAGTTAATATTTTTAGCTGATTTTTTTTTTAAATAATA